ATTTGTCACTTGTAGTTAATAATCAGAATTTATATTGAGTATTAAGATAAAAAGTTGATTATAAATAAAATGGCCATAATGAGAATACAGATCATTCTAAAGCAAATGATATCGATATTTGATATGGTGATTAAGAAACAATCAAATGAGAAGCTCATTAAATCTATAAGATACCTAACAGAATAATTTTTTTATTATAAAACACTCGTTAGGTAAGGTTAAATGTTTATTTAGCTCCAAAATTGTAATCTGGTTGATCAAATTTTTCATTAAAATTCCTCCAAATATTGCCTCTGATTTTTTAGAAATGATTCTGTATTTCAATAATTTATTATAAAAGTCTATTTTATTGTCAGTATAATTAGTGCCTTTCACTAAGATTAAAATAGAGATCATATTCCAAAGATAATTAAAGCAATTTCTAATGGTGTAATTACCTAAACTATGGTAACTTCCACATTAATATATTGTCATTCTAGAAAATTTACCTTTACCTGGTATATCATAAATATCAAATTATTCGCTCCACTAAGTATAAGTGGACTAATACATAGATAATTTTCAGGATTTGAGTCACTAATACAAATATCATCTAAATTTTAATATTACTCTATACTATGACTTTATTCATATGGTCTCAAATAGAATATTATGACTCTCTCTGAATTCGCATAATTATTTTACATTATTCTCCATACTAACTGATAACCTCCTCTCTGATTTTAATTATTTTATAATCTTCCTCTTTTGATTTATCAATTACTTTTTAATGGATACTCATTTACTCATAGAATTGTACTAGAAGTTTTAAAGTTATTTTTTCTCCTTTATTTCTTTCTTTCCCTATAACTAACCCTATATTTTTTATATATAATGTTTTTACTCTTATTTCTTCTATTAATTATATGTTATCCTAAAGTAATTAATCAACTTTTTTCACTTCTGTACCTCTTTTATTCTTTGATGATTTATTTATTTATTCTAATGACATAAATCTTAATGAATCATAATTTTTCTAACAATCTTTGCAGACCAATCTATCTTGTTATGATATTTTTTGAATCATTATGATCTTTTGCAAACAAAATATTCTAAATTTTCTATCATTTTAAATTCAACATTACTCTTTATAATTTAAATATTGAATTACAGAATTCCATAAATCATTTTTATCAGTGAAGATTTAATTTTTTTATAAATAATAATGATATAAATATCAGAAAATGATATCTAATAGATATATATCTTTTTATATGTAATGATTAATATATTATAAATAATAAATTAATCATTTATCAAACTTAAACATAGCGTGTATGTGTTATCTGTTCCAAAATCTCTGATTACTGGAACTAAATAATTACTCTCTTTAATCAACTTCGGATTGACTTGAGCTGTAATTATTTTAATTCACAACTGATAAAATCAAAAAATACTATATTTTCTTACTTTTCACCATAAGTTTATAATGAATTTTAGGCCATACTTTCACTTCCAACTGTTGCAAACATTGAATCAACCCAAATAATTTATTCCTTGTTTATATTCCGTATTTGAACATAAATATATTTCTCTCTCAAAGAAATTTAAATAAAGTTAGGCTGTTGATGGTGATCATGGTACTGAAAAGGAGTTCCCATAGGTTGCTTGTGCACGAATACACTAGGTCTGAAAGTTCTCTGGTTATCTCTGATAGAACTCTGTCTATTGATCAACTGGGAATCACCAACGTGGTCATAGATTAGATAGCCTGAACAGAATAAACTCGGGCTAATCAGAGCTAGCTCATTGTGACGACGAGTGAAATCCCAAGAGTGAAGGAATTTCAGCACGATGAAGGAATATGAGTCATAACTCTTTCGCAACACACTTTATTTACAAAATATATACTCTTAATCAGAGAATTTGACTTCATTTACATCATAAAATTCCATAGGCGATTACTTTACAGAATTCTAATTTTCTAATTAAGCTAAAGCTTACTCCATCAAAATTCTAATCAATCAATCTGAGTTTTTTCTTAATTTCTAAAACTATTTTATTTTTTATTTACCAAAATCTCAGTATTAGTTTCTCTATTCAAAGAATATGATTAGTCAAATTTGAATTTAGAATCGAAAACTTTTGATGTTTGTTCAATGAATTATGTAATTCATTTTCACTAAGAAAATTGTAATGTTGAATTTGTTATGAGTACCAAGATCCCATTAGCTAATCCTAATTAGTACTTTATTATTCATTATTAGAACCAAACCATAAGT